AATGTTGACCCTACAGTGTGGCACCAGGAGTCCATAGTAGACCTTATGATTGCCCTAGTCAGGATGGCTAATACCAGCCCATTTCACTAAGGCCTAGGATACCTATTTTCAGTCCTTCCATTTTGTTTTTGACAACTTCCCATTTTTCCTAGATTCAGACTTCATACAGTCCATATTCTGATTATTAATGGTTGTTTACAGCTTTTTCTTCTCATTTTGAGTAGTGGTACAGGTATAGGGGTTAGGATTCCAACACATATTGTGTGGGGGTCACAATTCCATCTATACAGCTTTCATCAGCTCCATCCTTCTACCTGTTGCTATCTTCCCCCTTGCCCAAGACAAGGGTACCCTCACAGCTCCTGCTGTTTCTACTTTTCATGCCAGATGTATTCATCCATGATCTCATTTTGTCCTCAAACTCCACAACATACTCTTCATCATTATCCACAGTTTATAGGTGGGGGATTTGAGACTCAGAGTGTGAAGTGACTTCCCCAAGTCCATACAGTCCAAGGGGTAGAGAGCCAGAGGTCCATGAGGTCTGTGCTGTTTGTGAGATGACAGGATAATGGGGGGGCGGGGGGCGCTGCTGACCACCTCCCTGTGGCATTGTCAAACTGGATCAGGGACTCTCAGCAGGGTGGGGATGACTGAGCACAGGAGCAAAGACAGGAGTTTTGGAGCCATGGTAACCTATAATGGCCACTAGGTGTCATCCAACTTCTAGAAAACTATTGGCAGCTAGGCCCTAGAGCAAGGGTGGGGAACCTTTTTTCTGTCAAGGGCCATTTAGCTATTTATAGTATTGTTAGAGGAACATACAAAATTCTCAACTTAACAATTAACCTGCTAAATTTGATTTGATCAAACATTTAATTAACTCACCCCTGGTGTGGCGCATTACGATCAGTATTGAACTGTGAACCACAAAGTCGGCAGTTCAAACCCACCGACTGCTCCTCGGAAATCGTATACAGGGTCGCTATGAGTCGGAACTGACTCAACAGCACCTAACAACAACAATGTGATGGATGGAACTGTGGTTGCCTTGGTAGGACCAGACCAAATTATTTCACTGACATTTTACTGCCCACAGGCTGGACATTCCCCACTCCTGCCCTAGAGGGTCGTATCAGGTAACCTGAAGAATTGGGGGTGGGGGGAGGCTGGGAGATGGGGACAGTAATTCTCCAGAGATTGGAGAAGTCTAAACTAAAGTCAGAGCAGAGACTGACCCACCCAGGCCAGTTAGAAGCAAATGTATTAAGCCTTAGCATGAAAGACCTAGAATCTCATGTGTAACAGAAAATTTGAAGGTTCATGTCCCCTCAGAGGTACCTCAGAAGAAAGTCCTGGTCATCTGCTCCCAAAATTAGCCATTGAAAATCCTATGGAATACAAAGGGACGTCATGAGTTGGTCGTGACTTGATGGTAACTGAAACTGCAACTTGGAAGGGGTCCTCAGGAGTCTTGAGGGAGGAAGGGACCTCCAGATTGAAGAAGGAGGGAGCCTCAAAACCTGACCCCTGCTTCTCCTTCAAGGAGAACCCAGATACACCTTCCCAGAAGGACCCTTTATCCCTCTCGTCCTCAGGTCCAGCACAGATGTCCCTGCCTTTGGTGTCCCTGCCAGAACTGTTGCAGGCAGTCTTGGGACGTCGCCCTTCGTGCTCCCCCATGACACCCCTCGGCACCCTGTGTCACCATCATTGACTCACATGTCTGCAGCCCCTCCCACACAGAGGTTCTATCTGAGTCTGGTCTCCACCAAGCTCACTCAGCAACACATCTGGCACATAGGAGACCACTGCACAGGTCAATGGCATGAAGGAACCAGTGGGTGGTCTGGTCTGGTGGTTCCAAACTTATTTCTTAAAGCTGAAGGATCTCTTTTCTTCTTACAGAATCCCATGGGAAAGCTCAAAATATCATACAGGAAAATCAGTGCTGAGATTGGAAATTAAGTGCGTGGTGGGGGCTCTTCTCAGCCTGCCCCTTTCCCAGAGATCATCCTGAGAGGTCCCCAAGTAAGCACACAGCTTTGGGGAGCATTTTAAATAGGTGCTCTGATCACTCATGGAGCTCCGGAGTCAGGGATGCAGGACCCTGTTGCCAGCCACATTCTCCCCTGTTCTCCCTCTCATTGCCCCACTTTTGATTTTAATGAATATCTGGATTCCAAACCCATGATCACTATGGTAACAGTTCCCTATCTCTCCCCAACCTGCTGCTCCCCAGCACTCATATCAAAAAGCCTTTTCCAGACTAATGTCTCGTTGGGCTATCATAACAAGCCTATGACCCTTCAGAGAAAGCATGGGATCACCAGGGCTTTATCAATGCTAGCAGCAGAGTTGGGAGGGGGAACCCTGAATGCAGTGGCGTCTCCAGTGAGGTGCGAAGTGTGTGGACCACTGCAGGCGACACTGTCAAAAAGGGTAACACCAAATTGACTGTCAATACAATTTTTGTACAGTGTTTCAGCAGAAATTTATTCTTTCTAGAAAAATGTTCCTATAGTTATAACAACAAAACATTTTCGTAAGCTCAGCTTAAATATTACCAATATACCTACAAGGCTAAAACTCTATGCTCATTTACTGTTTGAACCTTCTAACGCCATCTGGGCTCTTGGTGTGGCACTGGAGGATAAGCACTGGACTGCTAACCACAAGGTTGGTGGTTCAAAACCACCAACCCACTCCTTGGAAACCCTATTCAGGGTAGCTATGAGTTGGAACAAACAAGACGGCATTTAACAACACCAGCAATGGCGTCTCCTCAGAGGTGTCATTATTATCCATTTACAATAATGCTGAATCGTGTGATCTCATCTACATGTGCTATTGTGATTTAAAGGTATCATTTGAATTTTGCTACTTGTTTATGCCATTATCTTCAGTGATATATGAGATTACCATTTATAAATAATATTAGTCAGAAAACATTACTGAGGATTTTGTAAGGTCAGGTACAGAAGGAGTTCTAGGGGGGTTGGGGAGGGATGACACCATGAATCCATGAGTTACTCCACTAGGTGACACCAATTCTAGATACCACTGCCTGAGCTGCTGATGTCCAGGGCCGAGGTCCCTCCTCCCACTGCCCTGACTGGCTGATGACTAAGTCATTAAAGAGGAGTGAGAAAGCAAGGTCAATAGTCAGATGATGAGGGGTCAGACCCCAGCCACATTGCTTATGGCCTGTGTGACTTGAGTCAAGTTGCTTTCCCTCTCTGAGCCTCAGTTGTTCAACAGAAAAGGGTGGGATGGAGGCAGAGATGCTGGAATGGAGGAATATCTTTTGACATTATCCAACCACTCCTCACTTCTCCCTCTCCTGGGGCAGGGGAGGGCTAGACTGTGCCAGCTTCTAGGTGTTAGAGCTGGAGACCAGGGCTGATTCTATCTGTGGGTACCATGCCAAGGAAGTCCAGCAGTGAAGACTTGAGACAAGAGGCCTTATTGGTTGGAGGAGGGGGTGCTGAATCTGGGGTGGGGAAGGGATAGGCAGGAAACTCTTTCTCCAACCCTTTTACCCCGACTTTCAGAAGTGAGGGCTGTGTATGTGTGGAGGGGAACAACCAGAAACCCACTGCCACCCCTGCCTCCCAAGACTGGACCACAGCTCCAGCCCTGACTGGTGGGACTTCAGCTAAGAGATGCAGGTCAGCCAAGAACAGTGAGGAGAAGGGCAGTCTGATAGCTGGGCTCCTGGAGGGGAGACGAGGTAACAGAGATGGAAATAGGAATGGAAAGGTTGGGGCCAGGGGCCACAATTGGTCAGCAGGTGGTCAGGCCTCCAGGACCCCACAGTTTCTTCCAAACACAGTAGCAGCTGACCCGGCCACAGCCTCATCCTCAGTCCAGAAGGAGGAGTTCTAGAGCTGCCTGTGGTTCAGCTTCTGTCCAGCCCAGCAGTCTTTGTCATGGGCACTCTCTCCAGTGTAGAGGGTCTTCGAGGTTAACACCTGGTGAAGGAGCTGTAGGAGGCGGGATTCGGCTTGCTGACCCTGAGGTCAAGGGGTGACACAAGGGGCAGGTATACCTGGAGAAACGACAGTGCTGGGCACAAGGTCAGGAAGAGCTCCTCTCCCACCTCTACCCACAATTCCACAGTCCCACATACCCTGAACTTGAGCAGGCCTGTTGAGCCTCCACTCAGTGTCTGGGTACCTCACACTCCCATCTTCTCCTGCCTCTGCCTTCTCCCTGCTCCCTTCATCCTCTCCCTCCCCTTCATGGAACCCTCAGCCTCTCCCATTCCAGATGCATGCATCCCAGGGAGAGAGGGGCCTGGTCTGAGGTGTGGCAGCAGGGGAAGGTATGGAGGGCTGGACTCCACCACTGGGTGTTTATCAGGACCTGGAGTGGGAGTCTAGGTGCTTCTCTAGTTGAGTTGTGTCAGCAAGAGACAGCTGTGTGTTGGGGATACCTGAGGTGCCCCAGGAGAGTGTGAACATGCACGAACTTGTACCAGTGTTCCTCCTCTGGGCACTTTGGGGAACTGAGGCGGGACTTCAGGGCAGGACACTAAGCATTATTGGCAGTATGTGGTGTCTAGACCTGTTTTCCCATGCCACCTTAATGAAGCCTAAGGTGGGACCATCTACTCTGAGTGGACAGGACCAACACTACTGGGGTTTTGGTCCCAGCATACATCCAAGCTTGGGACCCCAGTCCTGCCTTGAGAGTGAACGCAGCATGGAAGGCCTCCACTTTCCTCTTCCTAAGGCCTCTCCCTTGACACTTGACACTCAGGTGGAGGTCACCTGCTTCCCACCAGATCTGGTACCAGCAGCAGAATGCAGTTACACCCAGCTACTGGACAGGAGGAACATGAGGGCCAAGGATCAGGACCCAAGTCTTCTAGCGCCCTCTGGACTGGACCAGAGACTGGGCCTGCTGTGGACTTCCCACCTGCACATCCAACACCTGCTCCATCTGCCTGGTCCCAGAACCAGAAACCCCCCTTCTCTCTCAAACCCAACAGCACGCTAGGGAGGTGCAGGGGATGCTGGGAAGATATGTCCACAGGCGACCCCTTCAAAGGGTGGCTCATAGATACTGCAGTTGGGGGTGGGGCCCTGGCAGTAGATGTTGAGGTAGCTGCGATGCTCCTCGTTGTATTTCTGGTTTGGAAAGCACAGAACGACATTCTTGTCACACTCACACGTCTGCTTGTCACACTCTGTCTTGTTGAGCTCGCCTGTGGGGAAGGGGAGAGACAAAGGCTATGGGTGAAGGGCTGGCAGCCCAGCTGGGATGAGGGGAGACAGAAGGAGAGCACTGACTAAAGGAGTCCTGTGCTTTTCAAAAGGTGGTCCTGGGCCAGCAATATCAGCATCACCTGAAAACCCTGCCAAAGCCTGAGGTGTCCAGGAGGCCTGTTAATGTTGGAGAAGTTCTGGAGTCCAACACAGACATTGGGATGTTTCTTCAGTTTGGGGAAACTGAGGTCTGAAGGAGGGTGGACTTGCCTAAGTCCCCCAGTGAGACAGAGACAGAGCTGGAACGGAGCCTCCACCCCGAGACCAGTGACTTTCAGCTTCCCCAACCCCTTCTCTTCATTCAGAGCCTCAGAATGCCCCCCTGGAGGTGGTAGTAGGCTTGAGGGAGAAAATGTTTGGAAACAGCTTCATTCAGTACTTAGCGCTTGTTGTTGTTAGGTGCGGTGGAGTCAATTCTGACTTGTGGTAACCTCATAGGACAGAGTGGGACTACCCCATAAAGTTTCCTAGGCTGTAATCTTTTCAGGAGCTTAGTGGTTATGAATTGGGCTACTAATCTCACGGTCAGCAGTTCGAAACTACCAGCTATTCCACAGGAGAAAGATGAGGCTTTCTGCTCTCATAAAGATTTATAGCCTCAGAAACCGCTATGAGTCGGAACCAACTCCATGGCACATAACAACAACAACAACAATCTTTTCAGAAGGAGCTCTGGTAGCATCGTAGTTACGAATCAGGCTGCAAACCTTAAGGTCAGCAGTTCGAAACTACCAGCCACTCCATGGGAGAAAGATGAGGCTTTTTGCTCCCATAAAGATTTACAGATTTACAGCCTCGAAAACCCTGTACAGGGTCGCTACGAGTCGGAACCGACTCGACGGCACTTAACAACAACAATAACAATCTTTTCAGGGGCTGATCATGTGATCTTCGAACCACTAACCTTTCAGTTAGCACTCATGTGCTTAATGACGGCATCACCAACGCTCCTTATTAAGCAAGCGCTTAATAATGTTATCTGCTGCTGTCTTTGTTATTATTGTTGTTGTTGTTGTTAAGTGCCGTTGAGTCGGGTCCGACCCATAGCGACCCTGTACAGGGTTTCCGAGGGTGTAAATCTCCAGAAATCATCTAGCCTGGTGGTTCTTATCCTTGTGTGGCCATTAGAATCAGCTGGAAGCCTTGTTAAAGCACAGACCCCTGGGCCCCACCCCAACGGCTTCTGAGTCAGGAGGACGGGGTCTGAGAACATGCATTTCCAACAGTTTCCCTGGGGACGCTGTTAATGTTGATTCAGGGAACACGCTTTGAGAACCACTGAGTATAAGTCATTAATTTTCAAACTTTCAAGTCTTTCATCAGCAGACTTCTTTCTTTTAAATTAAAACTCTTTGCAGAAACACTGAGAGAGAAACAGCTGAACATATCAAATCTATTAAAGAGTCGGTGGGACCCCTTTGGGGACACCCACTGTGGGGCAACAGACTCCGACGTCCCCAGGAATCCCTGGAACCCAGAGTGCAGCTCACTGCTTTAGGTTACTTTGCTGTCTCCTTTCCTTGAACTCCTTTAATGAGAAGACATCCTTCTCTCAAGCCAACCCCTCTGCAACCCCATATTTGAACAGCAGAACACAGGGACCACAGAGCCCCAGGTTTCCTAGTGGTCTCAGATAAGCCCAGCTCCCCACAAGACTGTTTCCAGAGGACAGGAGACATGAGTTTCTTTGCAAAGCTGGCAAATGAACAACTTGCAGAGCCTCATGAAGACCAGGAGGCAAAAGGAGCCTGTTGACTGTCCAGGGGGCTGGGCCTGTTAGCTCAGGTGCTGCTTTGATGCATCTGTCATGTGCAGAGCCACCAGTGGAAACTTGGAAGTCCTGCAAACACCAGGGCCCTGTCATGGGCCACCTCTCCTGGTGTGGTCCCAATGACTGAACTGGAAGGGAGGGAGTCTTCTCAGACCCAAAGCCTTCAATGCACCCATAGGGGAGTGAGGCCAGGTGGGAAGGGGTCTCATCTAGGTTCACACAGTGAGGAGATGGAGGTCAATCCCAGGACTCCAAGTCCTAGGCCAGTGCTTCACAAGGTCAGGGCAGAGAAGGGCAGGCCTAGAATCACCTAGGGTTCTAGTTAAAAACGTGGATTCCTGGGCCTCATCCAGACACATGGAACTAGCATCACTCCCTAAACTCCCCAAAGCTTCAGAATCATGAGGATGGAGAACCAGGTGTCTTGTCTAGGCTTGGGGATTTGAGCACACCAGGAGACCTACTAGACCCCCATACCTAGGGCTGCCAGGGTTAGCAAAAACAAAAACGGGCCACTCAGTTAAACTGAAATCTCAGATATGCACCCAATAATGTTTTAGTATAAATATGACCAACGAGATGGAATGGCACAGTGACAGCAGCAATGGGCTCAAACGATCTGGAGGTTGGCACAGTACCAGACAGTGTTTCATTCTGTTGTGCATAAAGTCACTAAGAGTCAGTACCAACTTTATGACACCTACCAACAACAACAATAATGTCCTACTTATACTAATATTTCATTTTATAATGATTTTAATTCACTTTGTACATAGATGAATTAAGTTTAGATGAATTGTTGTTGTTAGGTGCCATCGAGTTGGCATCGACTCATAGTGACCTTATGCACAGCAGAACGAAACAATGTCCGATCCTGGGCCAACTTCACTACTGTTGCCACACTTGAGTCCATCGAAGCTGTCACCTGGCCAATCCATCTTATTGAGGGTCTTCCTCTTTTTCACTGACCCTCCATCTTACAAAACATGATATCCTTCTCCAGCGACTGTTCCCTCCTGACAATATGTCCAAAGTATGAGAGACGAAGTTTGGCCATCTTGGCCTCTAAGGAGCACTCTGGTTGCACTTCTTCCAAAACAGATCTATTGGTTCTTTTGGCAGCCCATGGCACTTTAAGTATGCTCCTCCAAGACCATAATTCAAAGGCATCAATTCTTCTACAATCTACTTTACTCACTGTCTAACTTGCACATGCATATTAGGTTATTGAAAATACCACGGCTTTGTTCAGGCGCACCTTAGTCCTCAAGCTGACATCTTTGCTCTTCAACACTTTTAAAAAGTCTTGTGCAGCAGATTTGCCTAATGCAATACGTCGTCTGATCTCTTGACTGCTGGTCAACTATTAGATGAATAGTTAGCTTTTTTAGAGTAAGTATATCCCATGTAATATTGAGGAGATGCTTATACTAAAACATGATGGGTGTTTATCTGAAACTCTAATTTGACTGTATTTCTCTGATGGCACCTAACAATAAAAACAACAGCCAACAACCCTATTCAGAGGAGTACTGGTAGTGTAGTGGATTCTGAGCTGGGCTGCTAAAGGAAAGGTCAGTATTTTAAATCTACCAGCCACTCCGCAGAAAAAAAGATGAAACTTTTGAATGCTCCCATAAAGATTTACAGCCTTGGAAACCCAATTCAGGGTCACTATGCGTTAGAACCTGTTTGACAACACATCACCACCACCACCCTGCCCAGAGAGCCCCACGACCAGCAGGAGAGGCTGGCAGTCCATGGCTTTCCCCTGGGGCCCTGATAGTCAGGGAGGGACTCACTGCAGACAATTGTATCATTCTCAATAGTGTAGTCATAATGGTCCACGTAGGGGTGGCAGCCCAGATCGAAGAGCTTCTGGTAGCAGCAGTCATGGGCATGACAGCACCTGTGGATGGGCAGAGGCACTCTCATCAACTCTTCTAGTCCCTCATTGGTCAGACTTGCAGACTGAGGCCCAGAGAGGGGTGACTACTTGCTCGAAGTCACACAGCAGGCAGTGAGCAGCAGAGCTGGGACCAGTGCCCCAGTTTCTGTCTGTGGTCCTCCCTCTTTGTCCTATCCTCCCAAGATTCCCAGGATGCAGCTGCAAGAGGGTCAGGTGGTCCAGCAAATGTGATCAGCATGTGACTGCTACCTGTCTGCACAGGCTGTCCCTGGCTGTGCATAATGGCCAAGGATGGACAAAAGTCCAGAGGATCACGTTGAGATGGAGGGTTGGAGGGCAAGAAGCCAATGTGGCTGCACCCATCACCTTGGGAGGACTATTTGTTTTGTCTCCAGTGAAACTGGACTTGGTGCTGGCTGTTGTAGGGAGTAGGGGAAGAAGACAAGGCATGGCCTCTAGGAGCTCCCAGTCAATATGAGGAAGCACTCGTCCGATGGGACAGGGCTCACAGTCCTTGACCTCCAGTCCCTGAGCTCCATCACCTTGTCTGACGGGACAGGGCTCACAGTCCTTGCCTATCCAGAACGTTAGATGTCTGACTATTGTTTCCACGTGTGCTTTGGGGCAGATCATAGGTCCCTTACTAGTGAGAGGGGGGTGTTCAAATGTCTTCAACCCTGAGACCCTGGGAATGGACAACAGAAAGTGTCTAAGACAGCTGGAGATTCACACATCAAAGGCCACAAACTCATCAAAGAAGCCACTCCCACTTCTCAGACGTGGAGATAAGAGTGACCTTCTGCTGCCCGCACCCGTCCCTGACAGCAGCCCGGCCACCCTGGAACCTACCAGTCCACCCCATCCATGGGCAGGCCTCTCCCCCCCAGCCCACAGTAGCAGCCGTAGCCCACGAAGGCCCGGATGGCGTTTCTCCCCGTGATGGCTTCCACCATGGTCTTGAGGTTGAACAGGCTGCCCTGGGCAGTGGGCAAAACTGCAAGAAAACAAAGGGAGCTCCGTGAGCTCAAGAACCAAGTTACTCTTGTTCCCACCTCAAGCCCTCACAATCCTGAGAAAATGATAGCTGCTTTCTGTGGAATGCTTGCAAGTCCCTTCCAGGCATTAGGACACTCAGAGCTACCCTGTAAGGTGCTATTATTACTCCCATTTCAAGGAAGAGGAGATTGAGGCACAGAGCACTTAAGGAACTTGTCCTGTTGTCAGAAAGTGGTGGAGACAGAATGTGGACAAGGCAGTCAGAGTCTGGAGCCAGCAGTGCTTGCTTCTGGGGGAGAGGGGAATCGAAGGGTGAGCACACTAGGATGGGTTGAGGAAATGCCACATGCAGTTGTGAGCCACAGAGGTTTGACTCTGGGTCCTTCCTTTCATGCCTGCCCAAGTACTTCAGCTTCCAGCTGGATACAGTGTCCCCACCATGGTCCCAGGCTGGCGCATCTCAGGATTCATCCAGAGACAATTCTGTGCTTCATATGCTAGGCTGACGTCAGCTACAAGAGGGTTGCTTTCCATGTGGGTGTCACACACACTCATGCACACATATACACCCACATGCACACTCACACACTCACATATATATGCACACTCACTGCCATACAGCATTGTGAACACATGTAAGCACACTTACACTTGTGCACACACTTTCATACATTATGTACACACACATGCACATGTGCATATGCATGTGCAGGCATGCTCACAGTGCCATACATCATATATGCACACATGTGGTCACACATCACACATTACACATATTCATGCACACTCACAGCTATGTGCATGCTTCCATGCATTATTTGCACATGCATGTACACTCAGTCAGACATGCACTACAATACACCATGTGTGCATATACATGCACACTCACATGCATGCATGAGCACACTGCCATACATCATGTGTGCACACATACACACTCACATGCATGCATGAGCACATTGTCATACATCATGTGTGCGCACGCATACAGGCACACTCACATTATTCATGAACACACTGTCATACATCATGTGTGCACACACATATATACACACTCAATGCATACATGAGCACACTGCCATACATCCTGTGTATACATGTGTACACTCACATGCATGAACACACCATCACACATCATGTATGCATACACATATACACACATGCATGCATGAGCACACTGCCATACATCATATTACAACACACATATGTACTCACATGCATTCATGAGCACACTGTCACACATCATGTGTGCACACACATATATACACACTCAATGCATACATGAGCACATATTCATGTGTTGTGTGTGTGCACACATGCACACTCATGTATGTGCACGCACACTCATTCACATTTTCATGTATTGTGTGTGCACACATCTGCACTCACACATGCATAAACATGCACACACATTCTTACACACTGTGTATGCCCCCACACACTTGCACACATACACTCGTTCCTTCACCCTTTGGCCATGTCATTGTGAAGCCTGCCAGGCCCACACTGCCAACTCCAGGACCGTTGTCTCCCCTGTGCATTTCCTTCCTTCCTCGGTCTTCTGCTGCTTCCTGATCTGCTCCTGACACAAGGCTGAGTCCAGGCTCTGTGCTTGGTACTCCTCTGGTGAGGCACCCTGCACCCCTTCTTGTGTGGGTGATGAGACTGCCCTTCTTGTGTGGGTGATGAGACTGAGGCTGGAAGGGTCATACAGCCTGGCAATGGCAGAGCTCAGATAGGAAGCCAGGCTGGGTTCCCAGAGCAGGGATATTCTCTGCCCCACAGCATAGCTCCCATCAGCCCACTCAGCCCTCTGGGCTCCCGCAGCTGTGCCTGGGTTTAGGTGTCCACTCCTCTAGCCACATCCTTCACCCTGATCCACAGTCTGAGCTAGGGAAGGTGCCAGGGAATGGAAGAAACCAATAGTTCCAGAAACAGGGCTAGGTGGAGTCCTAAAGCCACTCTTGCCTGCTTCTTTGGATGCAACTGTCAAACATTTCTAGTGAAAGGGAACTCAACAGAATTGGAAGAGCACAGACTTTAAAGTCACACATTGCTGGGGGCAGAGGCGTCTGATCAGGCAGAAAGCTCCCTGTCACTCCATTTTCTCATCTGTAAAGTGGGAATAGCAAACCCAGTCTCGACAGATTGGATAGGCAATTTGGCACCTGACACATGTAAGACCCTCACTGCTTTTCTGCACCCCATGAGGAAGGGGTCAAAATGTGAGAACTCGTCATCCACACTCCATCAGCCTGAAAAGCTCCCCCTTTATCTGTGCAAATATTACCCTGGGGAGCAGGCAGCTTCAACCCTCAGGACTCTCTGACCATTAACTTTATAAGTTGATATAAGGAAACAGTGAGAAACTTACCCAGATACACACACACAGGGCGGACATATAAACACACACACTCACACACTCTGTCACATGTTCACACCTCAGATGATACACACTCACCTCACACGACCTCTACTCACCTCACTCACACACACGTACCTCACACACAGACATACACACATACCTCATACATGCACATAGATACACACTCACTCACCTCAAACTACCTCTACACATTTCGCACACACACATTTAAACCATATAACACACATCTCACACTCATATTCACTTGTGCACAGACACACACAACTCACACACACCTCATCTGTTCACACACACACCTCATACCACACTCTCTTACATAATGTGCACACTCAAACTTGCACGCACCTCACAAACATATGCACACACAGAGCACTGAGGGATAATAAGTGTTCGGAAGCCAAGGGCCACATCTACACCCCCTCTCCAACTACACGCAGCAATAACTGTGTCAAACCAAAGACTTTCTTCCTAACTAGCGTTTTCTAAATAATCGGTCGCTTGACCTAAATCCAACCAACAATTTCTCATGTCTGGCCAAATTCAACCTTACTTTTGTGTTTGTTTGCTTCCGGTATGTATTTCTTTTCTTTAAGTTAGTCTGTGTTCAGGCAATGCTTAACTGGCTATATAAAAAGCCAGCGAGAGGTTCAGTCTACATTCCATGCACCTGAGTCACCAGCCACCCAACTTCTAGATGTGTGGCAAGGGTCAGATTTTTTCAGAAACTTCAATTGAGTGGACCCTTTGATCCTTGGTGCCCTGGGGTACCACAAGGGAGAGAAGTCTCGGAAGTTTTCCCGCCATATGCCTATCATGTGCAAAAAATGTTTTTTCTTGCACATTCATTCATACACACATATCTATCCTTCCAGATACACTCGTATGCAGATATATGGACTCTTTTCTAGTCCTGGTGTGGTGCTGTAGGATAAGCACTAGACCACAATGTCAGTTTGAACCAAAAGGTCAGTAGCTGAACCCCACCATCCGCTCTTCAGAAACCCTATACAGGGTGGCTATGGGTCAGAACCGACTCAAAAGCACTTAACAACAACAACAACACCAAAAGAAGAAACAAATCAGTTGTAGAAGAAACACAACCAGAATATTCCTTAGAAGCAAGGATGGCAAAACTTAAACTCACTGACAGTATGCACATCGTTAGGAAAGACCCTTCCTAGAAAAGGCCATGGTGGTTAGTAAAGTAGTTGTTGGTGGTGGTGGTAGGTGCCATAGAGTTGGTACTGACTCATAGCGGCCCTATGCACAGCAGAACAAAACACTGCCCGATCCTGGGCCAGCCTCACTATTGTTGCCACGCTTGAGTCCATCAATGCTACCACCTGGCCAATCCATCTCATTGGGGTCTTTCTCTTTTTCTCTGATCCTCCACCCTACCAAACATGATATCCTTCTCCAGCGACTGGGCCCTCCTGACAATATGTCAAAAGTATGAGAGATGAAGTTTGGCCATCCTGGCCTCCAAGGAGTACTCTGGCTGCACTTCTTCCAACATGGATCTGTTGGTTCTTTTGGCAGCCCATGGCACTTTCAATATTCACCTCCAATACCATAACTCAAAAGCATCAATTCTTCTACAGTCTTCCTTATTTACTGTCCAGCTTTCGCATGCGTATGAAAGCAGAGAATATCAGAAAGATATTTACCTGTGCTTTATTGACTACGCAAAGACTTTTAATTGTGTGGATCATAACAAGCTATGGACAACATTGTGAAGTATGAGTATTCCGGAACACTTAATTGTGCTCATGAAGAATCTGTACCTGGACCAAGAGGCAGTTGTTAGAACAGAACATGGGAATACTGAATGGTTTAAAATTAAGAAAGGTGTGCGACAAGGTTGTATTATTTCACCATACTTATTCAACCTGTATGCTGAGCAAATCATCCAATAACCTGAGTTCTATGAAGAAAAACATGGCATCAGGATTGGAGGAAGACTCATTAACAACATGCGATATGCAGATGATACAACCTTGCTTGCTGAAAGTGAAGAGGATTTAAAACATTTACTGATGAAGATCAAAGAGCACAGCCTTTGGTATGGATTACATCTCAATGTCAAGAAAACAAAAATCCTCACCACTGGACCAATGGAGAAAAGATTGAAGTTGTCAAGGACTTCATTCTTCTTGGATCAACTATAAACACTCACAGAAGCAGCAGTCAAGAGATCAGACGACATATTGCACTAGGCAAATCTGCTGCACAGGAACTTTTTAAAGTGTTAAAGAACAGAGATGTCAGCTTGAGGACTAAGGTACGCCTGACCCAGCCCATGGTATTTTCAATAACCTCATATGCATGGTAAAGTAGAGGGTCAGTGAAAATGAGGGCACCCCTCAATAAGATGGATTGACACAACAGCCACAGCAATAGATTTGAACATACCACCCATTATGAAGATGGTGTAGGACTGGGCAACATTTTATTCTGTTATCCATCAGATCACCATGAGTCAGAGCCCTGACTTGAAAGCAACTAGCAACAATACATTTATATACATACTTTATTTACATACATACCACATTGATACACATATCACTAAATACAAACAGACTCACTCGGATGCCAACATGGACACATATGTATTCATGTATGCTGTAAACATAGACAACACCCAACACCCAGGCACACCTTCACACACAGTAGGTCCAACACTCACACACAAATGCATTACTTCATGTACACATGTATACACATTCCTAACGATACACTTCTCTGTACACAAGCACTCGGATTTTGCCAGGGCACCCACGTACCCAGCAAACGCTAACATTTTATGATGCTTTCTTAACTCTGGGCCCTGCCCCCTTGAGGCTCATAAATGCGACTGCCCCTGGCATGTTGACAGGTGACTAAGGAGTAAACAGTCCAGGAAAGTAGGATGGAGCCCAGCAGGGGGCTGAAACAGGATGTGGGGGCCCATAGAGATGAAGTGAGAGACCCAAGTTCTCACTGCCAGTCAGTTGACCCCAGCTTAGGATGCCCAAGGTCACAGAGATGGGCTGGGGAGAGGGAGAAAAGGAGGAGTCTCGCTCAAAGCATTTACTCACTGCTGCTTGCCAGGATGATGATGGCGAAGAGCTTCTTCATACCCAGGTTAGATCTGTGAGAGGGAGAAACCCAGGTCCTGAATCCGTCCTCTCCTCCTTCCTGCAGTTCTGGATCTGTTGCATCCTCGCCATCAACACTGGCCCAGATGCCCCAGTTGTTGCAGTCAAGCCCTGCGATTAGCTCCTCCAGGAAGGTCCAAGTACCTCCCTGTGTGCCCTGCTCCTCCTGGAGGATTAGACACTGGATGGTGGAGCCAGGAAGCACCTTACTGGTCTTACACTCTGAATAGGAACCCCGCCCTGCATCAACTCCAAGATGTTCACCATTGTTGGGGGTTGGGCTATTGTCTTGGATTATAACCAGCCCATCTTCCACATATCGTCCTGAGACAGTAATGCTGCAACCTAACCTGGGGGCTAGGTCTTGAACCCAGAGACAAGAGTTTTCTGGGTTCTAGTTCTAACTCGGCTTCCAAATGCTATGTGACTGAAGGCAGATCCATTAGCCTCTCTGGGTCTCAAGTACCCCATGAGGTTGACTAGATGACCCTTAAGGTCCTGCTATCCCTGAAAATGCAGTAACATTTCTCATCTCCTCATTCTGAGAATCTGAGCACTTCTTTCTGGAGAAATGAACTCTAGGAGTGAGTCTCCCACCACCCAAACCTTGCCTTCTCCATGGGGGATTCCATCCCAGGATAGTAGACACGTACCTGGAGGTTCTCCAAGCAGAGGAGGCCCTGAAGCAAGAGGATGCACATCCAGAGCAATGTCTACCCAGCGCCTTCTTCCTGAACCCTTTGGGGTTGGCCCGTGCCCCATCTGCCATGTTCTGGATTCTGGGGGGCCAGCGACATAGGGCTCGCAAGGTCCACAATCTGCTTTTAAGTTTCTGGGGCACAGACCCCAGCTTCACAGATGCCACGCACACTGGCAGGGCAAGGCCAGGGCAGTACCCCCAGGCAAGAGGCAGGTGACACATGCCCTAGAAAAAGAAGGCTCCTCCTCTTCCCTCCCACCTCCGCTGCCCTGCCCACAGACTGCTGGCCAAGTTCCCACCCACAGCTGTGGGGTGTGCTCTGTCTGCGGGGGTGGGGGCTTGTGCCCTGACCAGGAGTCAGCTCCTCTCCAACACATGTATCCACATCTGGAAGGAGGTTCCTTCATGTGGAAGAGAAAGTCCACCCACGTCTTTGTTTCTTAGTGCTTCTGTGACAGAAATACTAGTGGATGGCTTTGACAAACACAAACGTATTTTCTCACAGTTTGTTGTTGTTTGGTGCCATAGACTCAGTTCTGACTCAAAGTATCTCATGGTACAACAGAACGAAACACTGCCTGATCTGGCACCATCTTCACAGTTGTTGCTAGGTTTGAGGCCATTGTTGTAGACACTGTGTCAATCCATCCTGTTGAAGGTCTTCCTCCTTTTCATCGGCCCTCTACCAACCATCATGTCCTTCTCCTGGAACTGATCCCTCCTGATGAAATACATGTCCAAAGTACATGGGATGAAGTCTTACCATCCTCACTTAGAAGGCATTCTGGCTGTATGTCTTCCAACACAGATTTGTTCATTCTTTTGACAGTCCACAGTATATTTAATATTCTTCGCCAACACCATAATTCAAAGGCAGCGATTCTTCTTCAGTCTTCCTTATTCATTGTACAGTTTTTGCAGGCATTTGAGGTGATTGGAAATACCATAGTCAGGCATACCTTAGTCCTCAAAGTGACATGTTTGCTTTTTAATACTTTAAAGGGACATTTTGCAACAGATTTGGCCAATGCAATACGTCATTTGATTTCCTGACTGGTGCTTCCATGAGTGTTGATTGTAGATCAAGTAAAATGAAATCCTGGACAAATTTCATCTTTTCTCCGTTTATCTTAATGTTGATTCTTGGTCCAATTGGAAGGATTTTTGTTTTCATTATGTTGAGGTGTAATGCATACTAAAAGCTGTATTCTTTGATCTTCATCAATAAATATTTTAAGTCCTCTTCATTTTCAGTAAGTACGATTGTGTCATCTGCATATCAAATGTTGTTAATGAGTCTTCCTCCAATTTTTATGCTGCATTCTTCTTCATATAATCCAGATTTTTGGATTATTTGCTCAGTGTATAGATTGAATTAAGTATGGTGAAAGAATACAACCCTGGTGCACACCTTTCCTGATTTTAAACCATGATATAGTCCCTTGTTCTATTTATAGTTTAAAGGCTAAAAGTCTGAATCCAAGACTCCAGCTCAAGGGGAAGGCTCTCTCTGTTCTCTCTGGAGAAAAATCCTTGTCTCTGCTTCTCTAGTGTTCCTTGGAGATCACCAAGTGTCAAATGTCTTTCCCTCATTTCTGCTTTTCCCTAGGCCTAATCTGCTTTTTAATATATAATCGCAAAAGTGACTGATTTAAGACACATCTACATTGATATGGTCGTATTAACATAGAAAAGAATTCCCTATTCCCAAATGAGGTTACGTCCACAGATATAGAGATCAGGATTCCAACACATACCTTGGTGGCGATGGTGGTATATGACATGGAGTCAGTTCCGACTCACATTGACCCTGTACTGGGTTTCCAAGGCTGTAAATCTTTACAGGAGCAGAAAGTCTCATCTTTCTCCCATGGAACAGCTGGTTGTTTTGAATTGCTGACCTTGAGGTTATCGGCCCAACTCATAACCACTATGCTACCACAGCTCCTTAACACATATCTTGTTGTTGTTATGTGCCGTAGAGTCAGTTCTGACTCATAGTGACCCTGCATAGGGTTTCTGAGACTGTAAATTTTACGGGAGTAGAAAGTCTCACCTTTCTCCCACAGAACAGCTGGTAGTTTTGAACTGCTGACCATGAGATTAGCAGCCAGATTCATAAGCACTACGCTACCAGAGCTCCTCGGGAACATAATTCAATCCATAGCAAATCCCTCTACAACTGGACAGGATTTAGTCCCCAAACTGGAAAGAACTGCCTATCCACATCTGGAAGGGATTTCCATCTTCTGGAAGCCTATTGGTCCCCACGCTGGTCAGAATACCCTGACTAAGACTCAGGGAGTCAGATGTCATGCAACTGGCAGGAAGTATCCCTGATGCATATCTAGAAGATCATACTGGCATGCCAGACTAGAGACCTCTTTGTTGGGGCCTGTCCTAGTCAGAGGCGAAACTATCAAAAATAGCACCTGTGGTAATTCGTTTGAACACTTTCATGACTGAATTCTTTTCTACTTTGAATGCTTTGTGGATATCATGTGTTTTCAGTAATGGAAGGCATGCTGAAATCAAGGAGGAAATTCTTTAGAGGTAATATGAATTTTGATACAATTGTGTGAGACTCATGTATCCCAAGTGGACTCTGGTAGTAGGATTGGTAGGGTGAGGTCCGTTTCTTCAGATGTACACAATTATACAGGCATGCTACAACTGGGATAACAGCTTCTTAAGAAATCTGAGAGGCTGAAAATGTTAGTGGGTAACATATGTTCCGTGGGTCACAAAAGGGTTACTTTGCTAAGCGGTCATTCACAGCTGACCATGGAAACTGCAATAGTTATTAGAAACTCTTCAGTGGTGCCCCATTCAAGTGTCACTCTGCCATACCTGACACACCTTAGGTGTGCCTCTGGACCTAGGCACTGTAGAATGTTTTGTAGCATCCCTGACATCTACTCACAAGACTCTGTAGTACCTCCATGAGTTGTGACAACCAAAACTGTCTCCAGATATTACCAACTATCTCTTTGGGGACAAAACTGTGTCTGCTTGAGAGCCTAGTGGATCTGTGGGTCAGTGGCATTTGCCTCTTGTTTGGAGAGTGAGAAGGTAGTTTGTGGGAAAGAGGGAACAGGAGAAACAACTGGTGCTTGAGCCCTAGGGTCCCTGATATACCAATGTGAGACCCTGAACAAAATAGTCTCTTCTCTCACCTCTGCATCCTCAGCTGTAGAATGAATACACTAAGGACCCATCACACATATGTCAGTTTGTCGTTCTGTGGTAGCTTACATGGTGCTGTGATGCTGGAGGTTAAACCACTGTCATTTCAATTACCAACAGGGTCACCTATGGTGGAGAAGTTTCAGCAGAGCTTCCAGACAAAGGTAGACTAAGAAGAAAAGCCTGATGGTCTACTTCTGAAAATCAGCCAACGAAAACCGCAGGGATCATAACAGAATATTGCCCTATTTAGCACTGTAAGAGGAGTCTCCAAAGTTGGAAGGCACTCAAAATGAACAGTGGCTACTATAATGGACTTGGAGCAGACCAGCGATCATGAAGATGGCTAGGACCAGGTGATGTTTTATTCTGTTGTATGTGGGGTCCCCATGAGTCAGAGACGATTCAACAACTAACAACAACAAAAGGACTCTTGCTAATAGATGTCAAATGTCATGTAGTGTCTAGCTTGTGGTAGATGCTTGGTTAAAGGTCTGATTGTTACTAATTGGAGACCAGTTCTCTAGCCTTGAGGTCAATTGAGATGACGGTTGGGTTGGGGGAGGGAAGGAAAAGAGCAGCCTTGGAAGTGGAAACTCCAAATAATCCCCTCACCTTTACCTTGGTCCTTCTCTCTGAGAGTGTCCCCAGACTTGCTGACAAGAGGTAGAAGAGACCCTCTAGGGCTTCTCTTCATACTTTTTACCTTTGTCAACTTCCTTTTCTGCATACACCAAACCAAATAGCTGGTCCCACAGGTCATTCTTTCCTTCTTCCAGCCCAACTCTTCTCCTGCCCATTCTCCAGCCCATCTCCTCTTCAGGAAATTCTCTTAGTTAAACTGCACATCCCTCCATGGGGAGGTATTAATTTGTGCTTGCTTATACATTCCTTTGTAAATGTATGTTGTGGGGTTTTGTTTTGGTTGTGGATCTTGACACTTCTTTCAGACTGAGGATCCCAAAGAACCGGGGGTCATAGTTCTTCCAAAGTCTAACCGGACAGGGCTTTCATCTGCTTTATCAGATGGGGATTTCTCAGAGGGGCTGGTCTGTCTTCACATGTCTGTACAAAGCAGTAAGTGAGGTACAGTACAGCCCCTACCCTAAAGTCACAACCTCTGTATCTTTCTCTGCTGGTTACTGAGTGTCAGTTAGATCGATGTCAGGAGAGACAAAACTGCAGTGGAGTGTTGTCATTTCCCATCTTGCCTTCCCACAGGACATGCTGGCTGGGCTGGTCTTTGGAGAGAGTACACCATTGAGGGAAAGGATAGGATCTTCCCCCTCCTTTGCCCTTCCCCTACAAGTACAGACTGTTCAATAATGATGAAGTCAATAACAAACTGGTCCACCCAGTAATTCCACTTCTGGGACTGTAAACCAAAACAAGAGCCTCAGGTGTTCCCAGAAACAGATGAAGAAGGACACTGATTGCAGTGTTGTTTATGATGACAAAAAAATCAGACGCAACATAGATTAGGAATTAATTAAGCAAATTATTGGTCATTCACTCAGAATCATGTTTTCAAAGAACAGTTGGTAATCTGGGAAAATAACTCATGATGTCAAGTAAAAAGAGAAGAAAAAAAAAAAAACTTGCATGTACAGAGTAATACCAATTTTGTTAAAAAATTTAAAAAGAGAAAAATGGAAGGGATTGGCATGTATAAAAATCATCTGGAAGTATATATAGCAAAATGTTAGTAATGGTTATTTTAAGGTTGTAAGATAGCTAGTGATTTTAATTTTATTTGTAATTTTATATTAAAATATATGCAAGATAATACGGTCCTGGTGTGGCGCTGTGGGCTAATGCGCCAGACTACAAAGTTGTTTGAACTGTAAGGTCGGTGGTTCAAGCTCACCAGCTGCTCCTTGGAA